GGCCGCCAACGGCATTTAGGGGCGGCAGGTCCCTCACAGTTATCCCGTGCACACCCCGTCACCACCTCGCACGTTTCTGACCCCATGGCCCCTGGGTCTGTGTTGTCGTTGTCCCTTCCCCTCTTCAAGGTTCTTGACAGCCCAGGCCGAGGGTCTGCACTGCCAGAAACGGTCTCCAGATCACACTCCACTTAGCGGTTGTGTTTGTTGCTCTGTTTTATGAGTGGGTGGTGGGCAGCTCGCTGGCAGGCTTTTGCAAGCTTTACATGTTTATACTTGCTGGAGGGTTGGGGTGTGTGGAGAGGGAATTGGCTGGACTTGAAGAAGGCTGGAGCTGAGGCATTTAATAGGACCCTATATTCCTATTAGGACCCTAGATTCCTATAGCCTTTTCTGCTATTATGTATTTTCTCTATCAACAGACACTAAAATGGTAGTAATAGTTAACCTTTACCAAGAACTTACCATGTGCCAAATGCTGTGCTAAGCCCTTTATGTACATAACTTCTGACCATCTTGTGAGGTGGTCCTGTTATTTACACCCATTTTGCTGATGGGGCAACTGAGGCTAAGAGAGGTAAAATAACTTGCACAGGATCACAATTTAATTCATTGAGAGTGCAGTGGATTGCAGCCTAGGGCAGTCTCCCACCAGAGCCTATGCTCTTGACCTCTGTAGAGTAGGTACAGCTATTGTCATGTGGAGGCTGTGAAATAACAGCAAAAGGGTTTCTCGTGACGGAAAATGTCTAGAAACCACTGACTTAACGCCATCTTTAAAAGAAAAACAGGCCCAGAGAAGGTAATGATCTGCCCAAGGTTACAGAGCCAGTTCGGTTGCTTCCTAAAACTAGGGCTGTCTCCCAGTGAGGATTCAGTGTGGGATACTCAGATCCTTAGGCCGGGAGCATGCATATAAAGCACACACCATTCTAGAACTGGCTGGACTGGGACAGAATCCCAGCCCCACACCTGAGAGCAGCCTTGCCTTAGGGATCGACTACATTTGTCTAAGGCAGTGGTTCGCAGTGAGACTTCTCAGGAGTCCACAGGGTCAAAATTATATTCACAATAATAAGGTGTTATTTGCCTTTTCACTCATTTTCTCACAAGTTTCCAGGGAGTTTTCCAGAAGCTGTGTGACATGTGAGCATAGTATCACTCCGATGGCTGACGGAATATGAGTTTGTGTATTCAGATGTTTGAAGTCCTCTGTTTTAATTTCTGATACAATAATTAGCGCTAGAACAATACACATAAATAAAAGCTCTTTGGGGGGCCTCAGTAATTTGTAAGAGTACAAAGGGGATCCTGAGGCCAAAGTGCTTGAGAACCGCTATTCCATGGTGCCAGACCCAGCAAAGGGGAAAGTTAGTGGCTTGCAGCCACACTCAGCCTAGGGAAAAGGCAAGAAGAGGGAAACAGGCTTTTTTCTCTGGGAGGGAACCAAGCAGAGAGACCCTGGGGACGACGCATACTCAGTCATTCCCAGCTTTGCTCCTCTAGAGCCTTTTCACTCCACAGTTAGGATGCAGCCATGGCCGGTACAGATGGGAGTTTTTGTAGGGATTTTCCAGAATGTCCAGTAATGCAGGCCAGTTTCTCAGCATACCCAGTGGGCTAGATGAAATTACCAGAAAGGAAATAGTAGCCTGGAACCCACAGGCCAAGGGAAGGATGTTACTGAGAAAGTCCATGAATTGCTTGTCATTTTACCTTCCTATGGGCCGCAGGTCATGGAGGTGGGTAGACCAAGGAGAAAGGCCTGAAGAGGTCATTTGGGGGGCTGCAATGGCCTTGTTTGTGGACAGGTGGGCACCAGCCACCACCCCAGTGGCAGAGTGACAATTTTAACCCTGAAGGATTTTTGTATGTTGAGAATATTAATCAGTGTGCAGTTCAGGAAACAGAAAACACCTTAGGTGTTTTAAACAGAAAGGGATTTAATGCAGGGAATTCGGTGCCGAAAGAATCACTGGAAGGACTCAAGGAGCAGGTTCAAGGCTGAGCCTCCAATAATGACTCCAAGGATAATACAAAACTTACTATCAGGGCGGCTACTCCCTCGGAGATAACCCTGGGAACTGCAATTCAGGATTGAAGCTGGAGTCAAGAAGCTTCTGCCATTGCCTTCAACAGCAGTACTGCTGCCTCTGGAGCACTCAGGAAGTTGGGAAATGGACACCGGAATGCTCTGCAGGGGGGAAAAAAAATCCCTCATGTTTTATGAGTTGGCTTGCTAGCAGAAACAAGCAAAGGGGACGCAAAGGTGGCCTCCGCCTCACATCCGTTTTCCAGATCTCGTGCAGCTTCGTCTTAATGGTGAAGCCTAATTTGCAAAGAAGTCTGGGAAATGTAGTTTTCAATTTTCCACGTCTTCGGCTAAGATGGTAAAATGGAGGCTGAATGAACCAATCCCCAGTATCTGCCCACCTGTTATCAACACGGCGTCTTTTCATGTGCCGAGTTATAAGAGGCACAAGGCAGCGGGAGAATGAATCATGACACCATCTGATTAGACTTCATGGTTTCCTGAGTTCCCTCTTGGATTTCCCGTAGTGCAGCTGGGAGATGCTGCTTAGAGCGTTCATGGCCACACTCGGCTCTTTGTCTTGGCCGTTGGCCACGATAGGGAAGAATGGCTGGCGAATCCACGAACTGTCTTTTTGTTCACCCTTCAGTCTCCAATGCTGGTGGTTTAGATAAAAACCTTCCCCTTGGGTCAGAAGGACTGGCATGTAGGAGTATGTCTCTGAGCTCGCCTTTGTAGCGTTGGAGTGTAAGAATTGTAAGATTCCAAAATGACATCTGGAGGGAATTCAAATGGGCATTCACAATTAAAGAAGATCTTGGAAACGGGAGTAATTCACAAAGGGACTGTTGTTCCTTCCTGGATTCTACAAGCTCCCCCGCCCATAGGGTCCTGGCTTCCCACTCTAACGAGTCCACGTTGTGACTCTGAAAAGTATATGCCATTCTTTTCTGGGCAGAAACAGGACTCGGTCCAGAACTGATAACTTGGATGCATTATGCCACGTTCCTGATGCTTAGCCATCCTTGCAGTCATTCGGTTTATTGAGGATCTGTTGTGTCTAGGACCTGTGCTGGGTATATTTTAGAGAACCAGAGATGAGGAAGGCATCGTTCTTGTCCTGAAGAGGAATAATCTAGTCAGGAAGATGAGACGCATTCATTCTGGGATAGAATTCTAAGGGATCTTGGAGAAGGAAGAGATTATTTTCTTTGGAAAAGGGATGTGGGAAGGCTTCTAGAAAGAAGTGGCGTTGGAACTAAGCCTTGAAGGAGAAATAGGATCTGGATGGGCAGAGGTGAGAGCTGGTTCGTTCTTGTGAGGAGGTGGGAATGGGCAGGGTGGGCTTGAGAACCACGAATGCCTGATGGTCAGATGTGTCCTGATGAAACGTGTGAGCCAGGCTTGGAAAGTAAGTTGAGTGAGGTTCTGGGCATCCTTGAAGGCCAAGGCTACAAGGCTTTCCCAGCCTGTGGCCGCCTTGTCACCATAGTGATTGGTACACTCAGTGCACCAGTGAAATGACTCTAACCTAGAAATATTTTCAGAAATGACAGAACCAGGACATCAAAATAATTTCCAAATGAACCACTTTCAAGAATCCCGTCTGATTCTCTTTTTAAATGAATGAATGAATGAATGAATGAATGAAAGAAAGCATCCTTTGCCCTCAAGAAGAGAAGCTTTGCAAACTTTGAAGATGACCTAAGCTTTTGAGATCTGAGATCAGTCATGTGAGGGCATCTTTAGGTGATTCCCTGCAATTGATTTACTCAGGAGCTGAGGGGAGAGGATGGAGGTCGTCTTCCTGGACCGAGTACCTCTTTGCGTGTCTAGGGGAAAGATGGCGACAGCAAGGGCCTAACGCACAAGGATCCCAGGGTATCAGATGAAGTGGGGTGTGGAGGGGGCATGGGGGGCGGTAGGCATGAAGCCAAGACTGGCGGTCGGGGCCCCTCCACAGCATGGGGTCTGCTGGGCTGTGGAGTGGTCTTCCGAGGTCTTCACCGTGGGAGATGGGCCGGAATGGGCGGAGGACAGGAGTCAAGCTTGGTGGGGTAGGGACGGCAGGGCCTGGGGCGGGGAGGGACCGGCCCTGAGCGGCAGGACCATGGTATTGCTCAGCACCAGGCGGCACTAGTCGCTGTCCTGTGAATGGTGCCCCCTGCTGGCACCCAGAACACCTGTGACCGGTGCCCCCTGAGTTTGTAGCTCAGAGGCCTTGCTGAACCAACCGCCTCTCCCTGCCTCCTCCTAGCTGCCCCACACCGTGGCCATGGGGTTCTGGGTGTGACATAGGTCCTGGGACAGGGCCTCCCTGGAGGACCTCAGACGCCAGCCTGGGGCCACCCTGCCTGCCACAGGAAGCGACATAGGCCCACCTCAGCCCGGGGGTCAGCTGAGGAGGGAGTGGCTGTCAACCACACACAGGTAGCGTGCCATGTGTCGTCCCATGTGGCCTCACGGTGATCCTGAGAAGTGGGGACTGCCCCATCTCATAAGTGCAGAAGAAAACAGCCTCGGGGTGTTGTCTGTGAGAATGAAGGGGCACAGCTGGGTTTGGAGCCTGGGTCTGTTCGACTCTTTCCTCTGCACCCCAGCACCCAGAGGGCAGGCGTCCTCTCCCCTCTGCAGAGAGGGGGACCCCGTCTGAATTCTGTGGAGGGGACAGGAGTCCCCAGTTCCACATGCTGGCAAGCCCCTTCCTTGATGGGCCACCTAAGGCCCTCAGGCTCTGCTCGTGGCCCATGACAGGGATTCCTTCCGAGTCCTGACAGAGCTCCTGTAGAATGGGGCAGATCGCGTTCTCCATGAGAAGAGTCAGGCCCCCTCCACCTCCCACAGCCGGAAGGCTACAGGGGACCTAGCCTCCGCGGCTGTCCTGAGAGTGGGTGCTGAAGGGGGTCCCCTTCTGTGCTTCAGGGAGCAGCCCGCCCAGGCCTGACCCCCTCTCTCTGCTGCCTCCCAGGCCCTTCATGCTGCTGCCGCCGCTGATGGAGTGGATGCGCGTGGCCATCACCTACGCAGAGCACCGCCGCAGCCTCACCGTGGACAGCGGCGACATCCGGCAGGCGGCCCGGCTGCTGCTGCCCGGCCTGGACTGTGAGCCCCGGCAGCTCAAGTACGGAACCAGGGAGGCGGGGTGGG